CGATCGGCTGAAGTTATCGAGCATCCCTAATGCTTCACCGGAAATACCGCCGTGCATAGAGCCCATTGCTTTCTTGCCTGACTCACCTTGATTGAGCGGTCCAAATTCAGAGTGAAAAACCCCAACAGAGTGTGCGTATCCTGAACCCATGTGGGTGCCCACTGCTGCCTGAAACACTGAACCCCACACCGCCGGACCGCCAGCCTTCATCTGGAAGGTGGCTAACTCGAAAACTCCTACAGAAAACAACACATTTCAACAAAAGCTGTTCAGATAAGTACCCCTGGAGTATTTGAAAGCTTTATAACTTCTTTTTTGAACATTTTATGCATATGTGTATGGTAAATGTGCCATTTACCATATGTGTAATGACAGAAGGGGGAATATTCAGGAACCCCTTATGATTGCATTATGAAGTTGTTTATGTCTTATATCTCCTATAGTATCAAGTGAGCAGGAATTGGTGACTCTTAAAAAAAATCAATGCATGACATGTTAATGCACATAGTTCACACCTCCATCTTTGGGTGGCTTCTGAATCTTGCTCCAGGGTACGAGGTACGTCACCTCATTATCCTGAGAGCTCAGCATGGGCATCGCTTTAGAGATATACTGCTCAATCCAGCTGGGGTCCTGAGCCAGGGCTGCCCGCACAGATGCACGCTGGGCATAGCTGTCTAAACAACGGAAAAGAAGGGTTTGTTGTGGAGTTATATGTAGAACAGCACTATCCCTTTAGATATTTTAAATGAAATATACACACAACATCATTGGGTCAAAACAGTAAACAAGCAATTTTACTAAGAATGTCTAAAAATCACATAAGGAGAAAAACGATGGGACACCTTATTAGTACCTTTATTAGTCTTATAAAGATTTTAAAGTGCAGATTGGACATTTAAAGGAGTAGTTCAGTTTAAAAAAAAAAAATTTTGCTGATAATTTACTCACCCCCATGTCATCCAAGATATCAATGTCATTCTTTCTTCAGTCGAAAAGAAATAAAGGTTTTTGATGAAAACATTCCAGAATTTTTCTCCATATAATGGACTTCAATGGGAACCAAACGGGCTTTAAACGATTTCAGACGATGAATAAGGGTCTTATCAAGCGAAACAATCGCTCATTTTTTTTAAAAATAACAAAGTTTACGTTTTATAAGCTCAAACGGTCACTTCGCTCTATTCTGTGATGCGCGTTCGTGACTCTCCTGTTCAAACTCGTTCATCAAAATGAACGAATCTTTTCCCGAGTCAACTCGTTCATTTTGTTTGTTGAATGAACCAAATGACACAAAAAAAGATTCGTTCATTTTGATGAACGAGTTCGAACAGGAGAGTAACGAACGCTCATCACAGAATAGAACGAAGTGACCGTTTGAGCTTATAAAACGTAAACTTTGTTATTTTTTTTTATTTTTTTAAATGAGCGATCGTTTCGCTTGATAAGAGCTTTCTTCATCGTCTGGAATCGTTTAAAGCCCTTTGAACAGTTTGCACTGAATGAAACTTTTTTTTGGACCTTCAACCGTTTGGTTCCCATTGAAGTCCATAATATAGAGAAAAATCCTGGAATGTTTTCATCAAAAACCTTAATTTCTTTTCGACTGAAGAAAGAATGATATGGACATCTTGGATGACATGGGGGTGAGTAAATTATCGGCAAAAGTTTTTTTTAAAAGTGAACTACTCCTTTAAGAATTCAGTAGTCTCACCATACTTCCAAATGTGGAAAACTTGATTGAGACCCCCATATTCCACACTCCAGTATCCAACGAGCTCTGAGTGGGCCGTACGCAGGTGGATCTTCTCATTGGTCAGTTTAAGGAAGGCAGCGTTGAGATGCGGCTGGATGTAATATGTGCGAAACTCATAGAAGTTTCCGTGCTCCTGCTGCGGTCCGGTGGAGATTGATGCCCCGGGCTGCTCGGCAAACGTAAAACAAAGTGCTAGTGACATCAAGTGGTCATTATTGGAACTGTTCCGCTTATAACTCATACTCTACATCTACACTTGTCTGGATTTATATGATTTAATAAAACGGAGTCATTGAGAAATGGCAGCTTCAGCCATCTGCTTTTTCAATTTCAATTTACTGAGGTTCATAACCCCATCCAAACTCATAAGCACATTTTAAAAGACTTGAAACTGCCATGTCAATCGATAAACTGTACAAATGTTTATGTTCTACAAGTTCAGACCAGCCAACTCCCACTTAAGTACAAAGATCATGTCCATAGGTCCCAGATATATATTTTTTTTAACAAGACAACTCTACACCTAAAGTGAAATTGACATTAATGGCATGTTAAAAACTAAAAAGATACATACACTGTGTATAAATATAGAAGTCAAAAAGTCTGAATTGGAAAAGTGTTTTGTTTTGGTTTTGACATTTAAACATGGAATGCTGTATGTAAATTCCTCAAATATTTAAGAAGATTTGGCACTTTTTTTAAGTCAGTAAATCAAATAGCAAAATTATTTGAACCAGTTTGCACAAAAGGTCAGTTTCTTCATTTTCACAAGATGCTCTCTGGAGTTTATTGTGCTACTGTCATTAACTCTGCAAGCATGCTATACAAATAAATAACAGTCAATTATTTTGAAATGAAACAGTCATATTTGATACATCAGGCTTTTATAACATATTATAGTATGATACTGGACAATATGGAGCTCATTCTCGAGGAGGAGGAAAAAAACCCTCAGCTCAAACTGAGCAAAACTATGCAATTTGATGCAGTTGCTGATATTAATATGTCCAAAAAGTAAGAAGACATTCTGATATATTGTAATGTAAATCAATGAGACATTTATAACAGTAAAGCAGACTACTTACATTAAATGCATATAAATATCAGTTGTCAGTCACTCTATTTCCCCAATAGTATAGTAAGATGCTTGGTTTTATTATCAAAGCTCTGTAGTTTACATTGTGGGGGGCAAAACAAAGATGGTTGGGAGATGTACCTATAAATATATGTTCCTCAAAGGCCTGATGTATCATATTTGATACTAGAAAGAAAGCTATACTTAGGCTACTTTATAAAAATCAGTAAAGAGCAAAAATCAGTTTCACAGCAAAAAGACACATGTAGCACAGCCTGAATGGGGGGCATTTTCAGAATAAAATTAAATTTAGAATTATATAGACAACATATTTACATTTAAAGTTGTGCTTATAATGCAATTCGTAATTAATGTTTACATTTTCACCTGTAGTCAGACTTTTGGACCCCACATGCATGAAGAACATGGGCCTCCTAGCTCCTATTTGGATTATTACACTTTGTGCAGTGATTTCATGCTTTTGTAATTCCTGACACTGCCAAGGCAAGTCCTGAACAAATGTAACAGTGGAGTTACATGATCATTTGATTGACAATGGTGGCGTCCTAACGGTGTTTGTCGTTTAACTCAATTACTACATTGACGAATGTTTCCCACTGCGTCCTAAATAAAACTTGTGAATGATTATTAAACTCACCATAGGTCGGTTTTTCAAAGAAAGATAGTGTTTTGCTGCGCCTGCGTGACATGACGCGTTCCGGAAAATACCGCGTAATTGTATCATTTTTCTCGTCGTAAATCTGGAACTGTCCGGACACTGTACTTGCAGCTGGGGACTGACGTGCAGCCCTGAGCGAAGTTCACTCAGAGACAGTACGGAAGCCGAAATGTATCGTTCAAGTTCGCTGCATGGAAGTGTGCGTTCATCTTTTTTTTTTTTTCATTAATTATTTAAATTTAAAACTTTACATTTATGATAATAAAAAATTACATCGATATAAAGGTTAGATATATAGGCTTTCAAGTAACCTTTGTAAGTATTTAAATAGCTTAGATAAGAAGCTCTCCTATGCTTTCTTGTAGCCTTCTATTTGTACTACTTTAAATGTAGTTGTTAAAAAATCAAGTAGAATATAATACATTTAAACTTTTATTGTGTCTCTTTAATTACTTTAACACAGTTTTGGCTGGGGTTGCCAGATTTGTTCAATTCACACATATGAAAAGTGTTAAAATAAGTTCCACTTTGCACTGAGATTTTTAAGGGAAAATTCCCTGTATGGGTCAATGACATATTTTATTTCATTTTATTATTTTTTTTTTTTCCAAGTGCATTATTTCCATTTAAAATAATTTGATAAATTCATGACATATATCACTTTATTCTATAAAACCTATTTAGTTTGAATTTAGATCATATCATGTCAGTAATACATATTATTTTATGTTTTATCTGTAACCCCCAAAATGCCAGATTGTGCAACATGTCTGAACAAATGAACAAACTAAGACAACTGTGTCTAAATGATAAACGATTTAAAACTAAATGGTATAATTTTAGGCTTGAAACATTTCATATAAACACATTTAATAAATACCAGTAGTTTTAAAGCTGTTAAAAAAACTTTTGTCCAACAATTTTGTCAGGGTCGCACAACTTCAAACATGGCTCTTTTACTGTGAGTAGACAAGGTAAAAACAGTAAATATGATAATGCATTATTTGCATAACATTATTATTTGCATTATTTGGTTGTACAGCCTGACATAAAAACAGTCAAATATTTATTTTTAACAACTGAAACTATGTTTAAACACATTTTTCATTGCTCAAAAATATGAATGACATCAGTTTTGAAAAGATTTTGAAAAGCTTTATTTACCAATGACTCACATTAAAAGAAAAAAATGTAAGTTCAAAGTCTCTTCAGGCCCCTATTCCATACTGCAAGTCAATTATTACATTACATAATTATTCTGTTAACTGCATTCCATGTTTAGTGGAATTCCATTTATTTGGGGCCAATAAACAGGGACACACCTCCCAGCCAGACCTGTTTTGAGGGATATTATACAGGCCAATGCTTTTTGGATTGTGCTCAGCAATTTTTGGACAGACTGGAATGTTTATCCCTTAATAAAGACAGAGACAATAGAGAGGCTCTGTTCTCACTGGTGTTGACGCGGGATAGTGGGTAGGTGGGGCGGATGGCTGTCAAAATATCAGCACCTCTCCTCCTCCTCCTCACTTTCAAACTATATGTTGAGGGTCATCAACAATACAACACTCAGAAGCGAGCTAGAAGTCATCAGTCACTATTAAAAGCTCTCAGCCTGAACTTCCAAATCCAGATTTGTGTTTTGAAATCCAGGCTTCCTTCCTTTGAGCATCATGACTGGAACAGCGGTGGTTCTGATGAGCCTGGTCCTCATCCTCTCTGTGGGTAAGTCTCATCATCTGTCATAAGAGCTATTGTTTTAATCAATGAGGTGTGCCATGTGCAATTAACAACAGCATTGAGATTAATCCAACAGAACCTTTTTTTTCCAGACGCAGAGGATAAATCAAGACTCTACCGCAGAGTAAGTATGATTAGAAGATCAACTGTGATAACAGGCATTATTAATGAAGTAAATTGCATGCATTTTTAATCCGACAGCCTGCATGTGGAGGACTGAGCGTCAACCAAGCATGTCCTCTCAACTACTCTCCCGTGTGCGGTAATGATGGCATCACATACGTCAATGAATGCAACCTGTGTGTGCAGAGAATGTGAGTCCATTCATTTGCTCCTGTGATTACAGCATTACAGTTGACATGATTCTTGCCTGTAATTAGTAAGCAAGTATTGATGTTGGATAACTGAAAGGGTGTTTGTTTTTTAGGCACACAAATGCAGACATTTTGATTGTGAGAGACGGACGCTGCTGAGGTGGAGGACCTTATGATATCATCACTTCGCTTTTCATATCTTTGTTTGTTTAAGAGTGTTGCTCATCCAGACCAGTTTTGCACTTATCAGTATACCTATAGATGTGTGAATCTTACTGCATGTTAAAATGATAAATACTAGTACTGATATGAATAATAAGTGTCAGTTTATCACATTCAAGTGACTTTGAGTGAACAGTGCAGTGTGTTTGATTTTCTATTTACTTAGTTTGCTTTACATCAATACTGTTGTCTTTATTTCCAGGGAATATTCTTTGGCTAACATTCTGACAAGGTTATCTTAAAGTTATGAACAAATGTTCTGCCAGTAATGTATGTTCAAAGTTATCTGGTCTTAAATTGCATTGTCAAAACATCAGCACAAAAGTTTTGTTATACATCATTCATGGAGCGCTTTATTTTTTCCTGGAAAATTTTAGTTGGATGTAAGTCTAATGCTTTTTTAATATTACACCACAGAGAATGTTCCCAGGTGTTCCCATAATACTCGCAACATTTTTAAATAGAGGAAACATTCCCTTTGTGGTTTCTCTAATGTTCACTAACCAAGTAAAAAAGGTTTTAAAACATTCAAAAATCTGGACGTTTTGAAGGTTCTAAAAACATTCAGAATTACCGTTTTCATAACTTAATAGGAACATTTGCAAAACATCTTAGAACATATTTTTGTTTGGGTATATATTTCAGCTCTTCTTCTTTTTTTCAAGAACTGCTCAGAGTGCAATGTTTCAAGAGTGAATTTTTGAGTTACAGCTTATTTTTCTAACTATGTAAAAAAAAAATAATCTAACAAAAATGGAAATGTAACATATATACCGTTTATACCTTGATTTTACATTTTTGCTAATAAAATAAACATTTAGCCAAACAATTGTGAGGTTGACCAGCTTCATTTATGTCTTGCTTGTACTTTTTTTTTAACTCTCATTCAAAACTACCAACAAAACATCTCGTTCCATTCAAAATAGCATGTACAGTAATGTTAATTTTGTATCAGATGCAAGTCTTTAGGCTTCTGAATCTCAGCAGCCTGATGTTTTGTCGACTACATGGCGGAACACAGTTTTCAGAACTGTATTTTGAGGGACTGTTTAAGCTGACGTACCAATACAATGAACGCGCTCACTCACATGTGAGTTTTGACACAACATTCTTCCGGTTAAGAAATAAATATTGTGTAAACAATACAACGTTACATATTTAATAATACTGTGCGTTTTAAGATTTAAGATTAATACCAATAATCTCTCGTTGAAGTTCCTGAGACATGAATATTAAAAATGCGCTTTCTGGATGTCAGCTAACGTTAACTAGTTAACGTTGCGCCTCACAAATATTCTGATCTAACAAAATTATTTAAGTTAAACTAATTAAATAACTCGTAAGTCTGATATCCTAATGGTGAGACTGTTGTCAGTAAACTTTGGAGGGCTTATAAAGAACAATACACTCTTAAGTCTTAAATTTAGCACATCATCAGTCATGGCCAAAAGCAAATTTGAATACGTGAGAAACTTTGAGGTTGACGACAAATGTTTGAAAAACTGCTATATTGTGGTTCGGCTAGATGGACGCAACTTCCACAAGTAAGTGATTCTGTAATGCTTGCAATAGGTACAGTTACGACATGCTATTGCAGTAAAGGACTAACCCTGTCTTATGTAACGTTATAGCTAATAGTTTCGTGGTTTACAGAATTGCATACATTTTAAGTTCTAAAGATATAGCGTTGTGCTATAAAGGGTTATTTTACTCACTGTTATTAGTTTAATACCATAATGTCATATGGTTAAATTGTTTAATTGACTTATAGTGCCACTGCCAATTATTAATATATGTGAAGAGTTCAGATGCAAAAGCCTCTAAATGCCATTTGAAATTTTCTTCTTTAATGATAATTTTTATCAAGCTTGTATATTTAAGTTCAGGGATTTCACTTAAATGGCAATGATGATTACCTATTAATTGTTAATTAAGTGAAATTACTGAACTTAAATATACAAGTTTGATAAAAATCATCATTAAAGAAGAAAATTTCAAATGGCATTTAGAGGCTTTTGCATCTGAACTCTTCATGTATTTCTTAAATTTAGCCTTTTGCGATATCTGAGTTGGTTCAGGCTCAAAACATGAAATGTGCAAAGAGTTTAATGAGTATGAAACTGAATGTCTAATAAATGTCAAACATGTACGGATGTGTTTCACAGAGGGTAGAACATGCGTGATGACTGAAGGCATTTTCTACATGATCCCCTTGATTGCAGGTTTTCTGATCAGCATAACTTCATTAAACCCAATGATGACAGAGCTCTGGGTTTGATGAGCCGCAGTGCCCGTTCGGTCATGGAGGATCTGGAGGACATCACTATAGCCTATGGACAGAGTGACGAGTTCAGCTTTGTGTTCAAAAGATCAACCAACTGGTTCAAAAGAAGGGCAAGGTATAATTCTATGCTGACACAGTGCAATAGATAAACTTGCAAACTGTGAAATGCATTTCAAAACCATCTTGATGTCAAACACCACAATGGTTATCCAGGATAATGCAGTCTAGGATGCAGTCTAGTCTATTTTAGATGCCATGAACCTCCATATGTGATCATTCTTATGTGAAGGACCCCATTCTAAAATGTAAAATGCAGCTATAAATATTTTTTAAGTATCAACTCAGTCTATAATGTGAAAAATAAAATATTTATAAAGGTGTGAAATACACTGCCCAGCCAAAAAATAAAAAATATATAAATGGAACTGCTTTAAATAGTTTAAATAATTAAGTCTATGATTTGATCATTATTGCTGTGATTATTATGTTTTTAGCATGTTATATGTTTGGCAACAGTTCCCTTTAACACTAACTGATGGAGTGGATAGCTTTTCATTTCTTAAACAACCTTGAAGGAAGACACATCATGACCATATTCTTGGATGACGATGTCAAGATTCAACAGGCTCAAACTGAAAGAATGGTAGGGAGGATCATGAAGAATCATTTTCTTAAGAGGAGCCATGAATTGGCTCCTCTTAAGTTCATTAAAAGTCTTTGGGATGTACTGGAGGAGACTTTACAGAGAGCTGAACTCTTGCATTATTAATACATGATCCTGACCAAAAACTGATGCACCTCTATTTGCCTATTTAAATAATCATAATCAGTGTATTTAGTTTAAGTGTTTCTATTTACTATAGTACTGTACAGTGTATTTTTTATTTATTTTAACATTTATTTTTTTTATTTAACTTATAATTATTTTAATCTAATATTTTTTTATTCATTAATTTATATATCATTTGTATTTTAATCTCTCTTTTAATTTTTTTTATTTAAACTTTTTTTTCTTATATACATTTCCATTGACCCCTTAACACTTCCTTGTGCCACCCTTGACCCTGATCACTCATTAAATGTTTTATTTTCTCTCTACAGTAAACTGATGACCCATGTGACATCCCAGTTTTCATCTAGCTTTGTTTTCTATTGGAAGGAGTATTTCGGGGAGCAGCCGCTGCTGTACCCGCCCAGCTTTGATGGCAGGGTGGTGCTGTATCCTACCAACCGTAACCTTAAAGACTATCTAAGCTGGAGACAGGCAGACTGTAAGTTCGTGTATTTTGTTGCAAATTTGGGTTGACTGTAATGTACAAAACATTATAATAGGTTGAACTAGATAGATCTGGTTTACTGTGATTGTCACCCCAGACAATACAAATACAAATTTCATGACAACCTTTTGAGAATATTGTAATGATAACATGCTTGTTTGCTTGTGATGGGGCATTATAGGGATAGTTCACCCAAAAAATGAAAATTCTGTTTCTTAGTTTTGTTGAAAACAAATGAAGATATTTTGAAGAAACTAATAATGGCTGGGCCCCATTGACCTCTATAGTATGAAAAAAAATACTATAGAGGTCAACGGGGACCAGAAACTGTTTGGTTACTAACACTTAGGGATGGAGATGGCGCAGTGGATAAGACACATGCCTTTGGTGTGAGAGACCCGGGTTCGAATCCACTGTGAGACACCAATGTGTCCCTGAGCAAGACACTTAACCCCTAGTTGCTCCAGAGGCGTGCGACCTCTGACATATATAGCAATTGTAAGTCGCTTTGGATAAAAGCTAAATGAAAAATGAAGAAATGTAAATGTAACTCTCTTCAAAATATCTTCTTTTGTGTTCAACAGCAGAACGAAACTCATACAGGTTTAGAACAACAGTGAGTGATGATGACAGAATTTGCATTTTTGGGTGAACTATCCCTTTTAAAAAGTTTTAAAAGTATGGTATTTGTTATTGTCATACTATTGTATATTTTTTACTTTGATGCATAACATTTCTATTTTAGGAAATGTAGCTAGACAAGGATTTGGAATTGTTGCACTTCTTTGTTTTCTTTCTTTTTTTTTTTTCTTTTTTTTTTTTGACATGTTGTATCTTCTCAGGTCACATTAACAATTTGTACAACACTACGTTTTGGACGCTGGTGCAGAAAGGAGGATTGACCACAACACAGGCTGAAGAGAGACTCAATGTATTCTCAAATAATATTTATGTTCTCATTTTTTTCCCACATTAATTATCATATAGATTTGAAGGATGCTTGTCACTAAAGTACAAGGAAGGTTTCCAGCCAAAACATTATAAACATGGCATTATTTAAATCTGACATGTCTAGTCACAATCCCTTTAGGAATATTATCCAGTAAGCACTTTGCCCAGATACATAATCTTGCAATATATAATACATACATGTTTAATTGAATTCATTTATTTTTTTCCATATGAGTTTAATCAAACATGCCTAATTCTAGATTATTTTGTATATTTACATTCTATAGATGTAGTGTAATGTACTTAAAGAAACTAAAAAGATTTTCCCCACACACAGGGAACACAAGCAGCGGATAAGAACGAGATCTTGTTTTCTGAGTTCAATATCAATTACAATAATGAATCCTCATTTCACAAAAAAGGCACAACTTTAATATGGGAAAAGGTTAGCTGGATTTTTTTTTTCCTTCACTCATCTACTTAATGAAATATATATCACTCTTTAAGTTTTCTTTCTCAAACTCTTTCCTTCAGGTGACTGAAAGCACAACTAAACAGATCAAGCGGCCAGATGAAGGAGAGTCAGAAGTGACTGTAACACGCACCAGAAAGAAGGTCACAAGTCATTCCTGTGATATCATTGGAGATCAGTTCTGGGAAGAACATGCAGACGTTCTGGAAAGTGACCAGTGTTGATCACACTGTTAAAAAACTCAGACCAATAATGCCAGTTTATTTTTCCTTTTGGTGTTTAAAATTAAAGAAAACTTTCAATATTTTATATTTATTGTCTTTTTTGGAGGGAGAAAAGGTGATGTTGCCATGTTATTTCCCCCCTAAGATTCCTAGTAGAGATAAGGAGGGATCTTATTCTCTCCTGCAGGGTTGAGGATCTGTTTTTACCTCACCCCCTCTGTGTGCTGATGATTTTAAAAGTCTGTTTTCTCCAGATGTCAGTCTGGGTACATTTAATGAAGTGTGCATGAAATCAGTGCTTGAAGGGATGTTTCACCCAAAAAATCAAAGTTTTATCATCACTTACTCACCCTCTGGTTGTTCCAAATCTGTATGAATTTCTTTCTTCTGCTGAACACAAAAGATATTATGAAGAATATGGGTACCCGAACAGCTGCTGGTCCTCATTGACTTTCATAGTATGGAAAAATACCATGGAAGTCAATGGGTTTGATTACCTACATTCTTCAAAATATCTTCTTTTGTGTTCAGCAGAAGAAAGAAATTTGGGTTCGGAACAACTTTAGGAATAGTAAATGACTAAAACTAAACTAAAACTATCGTGGGTTCAAGACAAATTAA